ACAACTGGCCGGTTGAATTGACGCACCAGCGCACAAGCATGTCCCTGCAGGTTTCATTCCGGACGCTCGGCTTTGCATGGCGCACGGCTCCTGCGGCTCCTGCCTTCAAAGGGATTCTTTGGCTGCACTTCTCGCAGCTTGGCTTGGTGCATCTCGCCGCTCTGGTGCGCACGGTACATCGCTTCCTCATGCGACAGACAAAGCACAGAGAAGTGCGGCCTACAGCCAAGCCCCACGTCATAACACAGGCCACAGGCAAGGAACCGTCTTGAGGCGAACTCCGCAGAGGGTGCATTCGAAGCTGCCCCAACGATCCTCCTTCAAGTAGCCATCCTCGGATTGCGCTACCAGGCTTGCTGACGTTCCCTCCTGCTGTCGTCTACTGCCATCCGAGCCGCTGAGACGTCAGTGCCGTTGTCGCTGGAAGCTCCGGTCTCCTGGAATCCCAGGACCCGGAGCCGGAAGAGAGCAAAGAAAGGTCCATGTCTGCGGCCAGCCTGAAAAACCGGTAGCCAGTGAGCGCGGCACATGATGCTCACGAACTTCTGAATGGCTCCTGGCTTCGAAGACTGCAGACATCTGCAGACATCTGCAGACGGCGGGATGCTGGGCTTCTGTCTTCGAAGACTCATTTCGAGTGACTGCGACCGGGTGCGCACCTGTTGTTCCGGCTCCGCAGAAGATGAGGGCATCCTCATGTGTTGCCTGCGACTTTGAGGTCTTGCGCTGTACATGGAGACTGGAACCACAACTACTGAACGGGTGGGCTCAACGCATTGCCATGCCTTGCGGACATGCTTTCCGTGAAAGACTTTCACCTACTGTCCTGATTGGGGCTGGCTTCAGGGTAGACAAGACCGACAAACCTGCTCTGGAAGATTGACGCAGCTGATGCTACTGCCGGCAGGTCACATTGAGATAATGCTTCACGATTTGCCTGGCTTCATTTCCTCAGGTCGAGCTCTCCAAGCGGCCCCAGCCAAGGTGAAGAGACTCGGGCTATGAGTGTTACGGTGCAGACGTAAGAATTTGATAGCACTTCTTGGACAGGAGGTGAGGAGCAGCTGTTGCCGGGTTGCAGCTCGAAGCACAGGTGGCACTGGCACTCTGCTCTTGCAGGGCTTACTTGCCACAGTACGGCAGTATAAGGAGGCTTCCATCAAACAAGACATGCTGCCTTCAAGAGCTGAATGCATGACAAGCCACGAAAAAAGGTGGACTGCCGTGCCGTCGCTGTCGACAGGGTATGAGTATTACCATAAATGGGAAGCACCCGGTCTTTGATGAAGTCTTCCTGGGAGGTTTCTCTTGGCGTGTCTCAGAGCGAGTCGTCCTTTTCGAACATACTGCCGTACAGTCCAGGCAAGCCACGATCCATCTCAAGGATCTTCCTGATGCCGTATAATCACCATAGGCCAGTCTTCGCACCCCGAAGGGCGTCTTAACGACATGGTCGATGCCTTGTCCAGTGAATGGCCAGATGGTTACTCATGCTCCAATCATCTCCCTTTCCCGAAAGTAAAAAGCCCGGTGCTGCACACAGCGCAAATTTTTCGGGCGTCCACAGTTTCGGATCGGCAGTTGGGGGTTCGGATCAGGGTGGGACAGCGTCGGCGCCCAGTTTCGGCACAACGGGAGTCAGTTTCGGGACGTGCGTCTGTCAGTTTCGGGGTCCGAATCTTGCAGGCCTGGGCCTGAAACTGACGGCGTGTGACCGAAACTGATCTCTTGATCCGAATCTGTCCCGGACCATGTTCCGAAACTTCGCCCCAAAACTGAGCAAAGAAACTAAATTCGAAATGCCTGAGCTCACAAGGGATCGAGGATGCTTTGGGCATCGTTTCAGGCCTGGCCTTTGTTGGTAGGATTCCTTGTAATCGAAGTGCGGCCCGGCCCATGTGAGCGCACGATCGATTTTGAAGCTGCTTCGTGCCGACATGTGCCGACCAATTTGCTGCATGCGCCACACTCCCCAGATCTCGCAACTTTCCGGCCGTCCGAGTGGTCTGCAAATCATGCATGGCAATTGACATTCGCCGTATGTTGTTGGAGACTTCTTATGCTTACATGGCCTGCGAGGCCTTACCCACACAGGAAAGTGCAAATCATTGGCAGGGTGAGAACAGCTTTAGCGCTAATTCATATGCTCTCCGTCTCGTCATCTTGAAACTTGGGGGAAGGTTGCATCCGGTCTCTCTCTCCTGTTTCTGGTGGACTCAACACTCGGCATTGCATCTGGAGGGTCTGGGCCTCTCACTTGGCCGCTTCAGTGTCGAGTTTTGCTAGCAACAACATGGCTCCAGTCTTCTCTTCCCACCCAGTGGCTTCAAGCTGCACTGCAGCAACGCAAACCTTGCATGCTCGTAGCTTGGCTTGGGGCCAATTGTGTTTGATCTCAAGAACTGCCGCAACTCGGAAATGGCAGCCTGGGCTTCATCATGTCGGCGACAGTGCAAAGGACAACTACTACGTGCTGCAAACTCAGGGCTGTGCATCATCTGTACACGTAAAAGCTGTAGCTCTGATCTGCTTGTCGAAGTCCTCATAGCGACGAGTTGAACTCAGTGCAATGATGCTGCCGACGCGCCAGACTACTTTCGGGGGGCAGCAAGACCGCAGCTGCACAAGAGTGCGGCAAGAGTGCCGTGACGCAACGCCCACCATCGCCAACTACCTGGTGGGCAGCCATGATCCTCCTGCCCCTCGGCCGTCTAGGAGGAGTACCAGACAAGCGGCTGTTGTTCGTGACAGCCGCGGCCCCCCCCGGCAAGACAGCAGAGCGGCGGGAACCCTGGGGGGGGACACGTTCTTCTTGGAGCTGCGCCGGGAAGCAACCAGTGGCAGCATAGGGCCATTGTCGGCCACGCTGCCCAGCAATACTACGATGACTGGCTCAGAGATTCGCTCGGGGCGGCCAGTGCGGGATTTGCAGCAGCTAGCCCAGCGTCTGCTTCCAGCGACCAGCACCGGCAGACAGCAACAGCAAGAACCACCGGCAACCACGGCTTGGCTCGTCGATACAGCGATCATTGTATACAGATGCTGGCATGCGCAAGCCGTGATTTCGGAAAGCCTACCCCTGGCCTCGTGCTCGAAATCATAGCGCAGCATAACACCAGCCACACAACGAAGGTGCGTACAAATTGGCTTGCGGAATCGCTGTGCTTGTGCCTGACATTTACTTGCTCGCCTATCGGCACCAGATATAGGCTGACATGTGCTGTGAAGGAGCTTGTTTTGCCGAAGGACACTACTGTCATGTCGCTGCCATCGCTTATGAGACCGGCCTCAAACTTGTGCAACTTGTCGGCGCACGGTGCTGGTTCTTGCAATGAGCTTATACGTTGTCGTGTTCGCATGCGAGTGTCACCTGGGACACTGATCTTGTCAAGGCTGCAGTTCGGCGGAACTTACACTTCGAGCCCCCAGTCTACTACTGCCACTACTGCATGTGTACCACTAGCACCACTGGTACCGCTAGCAGCAGCACCACTAGCACCACCAGTACTACGACTAGTACTTCCTACCACTGCTACCAGTGCTACCGCTGCTGCTGCCGCTACTGGGAGAGCTACTACTACTGCGACGACGACAACGACGACGGCTACTACTACGATTACGATTGAGGCTACCACTACCACCCCCACCACCACCAGTACTACTGCTACTACTGCTACAACTGCTACAACTGCTACAACTGCTACTACTGCTACTACTACTACTACCACTAATACTACTATGACTACTACCACCACTACTGTGCTACTGCTACGACGACTTCTGCTCCCACTCTGACTCCTACTGGTCCTACTCCTACTCCTAACCGTACGCCTATTGCAACACCTGCCCCTACCCCCACCCCACCCTACCCCTCCTACTCCTTCTCCTACCCCCACGGCACCTGCTCCTGCCCTTACTACAACAACACTACTCCTCCTGCTACGACTCCCACCACGACCACTACCGCGACGTGGTAGCGGTAGTGGTAGTGGTAGTGGTAGTGGTAGTGGTAGTAGTACTAGTAGCAGCAGCAGCAGCAGCAGCAGGAGTAGTAGAACTTCTTCACTTCAATTCGCAGCGGAGAGGTCTCGTCCGCCTAGCGTTGGCACGCATTGTATGCGCGGCAGCTTCGCTGCGTGATCTTATTGACCACCCCTACACTCAGCGACTGTTTGCAGAACTGAGCACCTAAACTGGAAAAAAGGACCTACAGGTTCTAGGCAAGGTCTACTGTGATGGACGGTAGAAAAGCACATACGAGTTCCGAACAATCACATCTGCATCAACAGCTGAAGGACGAACCGCCTTGCGATTGTCATCCGTCCACCACATTCGGCCTGACGGCTCTACAAGCAAGGCCCTGTAGTGGCCTGAACACGGTGTCTCACCTAAGTGGACTAGAGCAGCGCTTAGCCGAGACTCAGGGTGGCTTAACTGACCTTCTACCCACATGGGGAGGTGGAGGCGTAGGGGCAGAGTGACTGGGACAGTTGTCTTGCGCACTGCTCTGTTGAATGCACGGAAGCGGTTCAGCTGGAGCGCAACACACCGAGTGCCTGCCACGAAGACAGGGCTGGGAACTGCAGAGTGCCAGTGTCGTACCACACTTTGCAGCGGACACATGCCTCGGACTCTAGAAATGGTATCCAGGTCACTGGTGAGGACCGTGGGACTGACACTGCCCTGATCACGAAGACAACCCTCAGAAAGAACCGCCCAAGAGCCCTCTAGGTGACAGAAACCCGCAGCCTGCTGAACGTGTGACAAAAAGTCTGCGGCGTCTTGCTGACGTCCACAGTGTGGCCAATGGCTCAGGCAGCGCTTCCACTGTGGGCGGCTCCAGATGTGCACCGGAGAAGACTGTTGAGTCAGGCAGGCCTGTAGATCTGCATGAAGGTGCGCCTTCATGCCGACCTCTGATGGCATGTACTGATGGGAGGTCCAGAGGTAGGCTAACAAAGTAGCATTGGCATAACAGTCATTGGATTGATTAGCAAGGATCAACTCAGCGCTGTTGAGCCTAGGGTCAAGCGCCGAAGGTCTTGTGCCACTGCTTGCGCTAGCTGCGACCTCGACCGACGTTCCCTCCTCAAGGTTGTCGCTACTAACATCAGCGCTCCGCTTCCCGAAAGAGCTTCTATCACCGTCCAAAGGCGAAAGGCTCGGGGGTCTCTGAGCCCCACCACAAGGGAGAACGTGACAGTCGGCCCTGTCATATCTGGAAGCAACTGCTTCGTCGGATTGTAGTTGATCAAGGCGTCTTCCAGAGTGCTGAGCACAATCGCTTCGTTGATCAAGCCCAGAACTTCGTCGACTTTCAAGGGAACGCGGTCTGTCACACTCTCGAGAGCCCTGAGGTTGCTGTTCCACTTCTTGTAGTGGAAAGTGTCGTGCTCCGACAGGGCTTGAAGCCGAAGGGCTTCTTGACGCCGTGCTGGATCCGTGCTGAGCTCCTCCACGCGTTGCTTCAACTCGGTCAACCACGTTTGAAACAACACTGTCCTCAGCGGGTGTTTCAAGGGTGCTGGCGACTCCTGTTTCGTCAGTTGCCATTGCTCCCCTATCCTCATCTGCGCAGGAACGGGAGTCAAGGGAGGGGCCGTTCCCTGAAACATAATCCATGTCGTATTTTGCGCTAAACCTGTCAAAAGGCCTTCGTGCCTCAACAGCAGGCGTGCTACGCTGGCCACCAAGTTTGCCGAGGAACTGGTTGAGAGTGCACTGCCGCTGTTGTGCGGTGGCTGTGGCGCCCCTGTTGGGTAGGGCCGCCTTTGGCCTCTCTGGGGAGCCGCCTGACCTCCCTGTGGCGGGGAGAAGAGTGGCCTCCTGCCTGACCCTCGAGTGGTTGGGGGTTGACCCTTTCCTTGGTCCAGTCCCTTCCCGTTGGGACGGTTGTACTTCTGCTGTGGCTTCTCCTCCTCCTCCTGCTCGTTCGTGAAAGTGAAAACCTCCGGAGTCGGAGGGAGACGTGTGGAGCCCATCGGCTGCTGGAGCCGGCGAGGGGGTTGGTGAGTGTTCGCGAAGTCCTCGCCTTGTAAAGCCATAGTCTGCAAGTGCTGGAGCTCTGCTGCTGCTTGCATCAAGTCGTCTCTCGAGACTCCCTCCAAGTCCATCGTCAGCGACCTGAGAGTGATGAAGTAATACAACAAGCTTGGCGTGAATGATCATGGCACATGTGGCAGCATGCTGAGTGTGGTGACCTTTGTAGGCTCTGGAGCAAAGTCGACAGGGTGAGGTGAGTGCGAGACCCTTGCAGTGAGCCTTGCTGTGCTCTCGAGCAGCTGTTAAGGCCGGAAGTGCCCATGCATGAAAGGCTTGTAGATGCTGCGTAAGGCCTTTCGACCTGACAAGACCTTGATTGCATAGCGGGCAGTACAGATGCGCATCCTTTTTCGTCCTGCGAAGGTAGGTGGTCAGTTCCTCCCACGTGAAGGCAGTGAGCCCCTGAAGCTTAGTCATCCAGTACGTACCTAGTGCATTTGCGGGAGATGAGACTACTGCACGATCCAGGCCGTTGGGAAACAAAACCGGGCAGGCTCTGGTGAACACATGAACTTTAAGATCATCCCATGTGGTGCATTCCCGATTGCAGTGCCTGCAGATGCACATGCCCAATTGCGAGTGCAGCCACACAAACCTGGTTTGGGAATCGGCTCCCTCGAGGCCTGGAAGCAGGCCCTCAGTCAGCAGAGGATCGGTCCCATGAACCTGAACATTTCGGCGGGATTGCATGTAGTGCAGACCTTCAGTGATCACTTTGGTTGTTGGGGCTTGATGTTTGTTATTGAATCCCGTAGTGGTAACTGGAGAGGTCTGCTCCGCTGCATCCAGTGGTTCCTGCTGCTTAGTTTCCTGCTTATGTGCATGTGCCGTATGGCGACGAAGTGCTCCAAGAGAGTCGAAGGACTGTCCACAGACCTGACACTGTAGTGGACGATATGAGTGGATTCGACGGTCCTCTGCAAAGACCTGAGCTGCCCTAGCATTAGACGAAGTGAGGGAGGGGTCTCCTTGAATTGGCGAGAGCAATCTCATGCCTGATGCTGGATCGGGAGAAAGCTGAAAGGTCACTTGCAACCGCCTTAGCCAGGCCAGAACGCCTGTCCCTCTGCCAAGGAGACCTGGCCTCGTGTCTGCGGCTGGGAATTGTCGACAGAGCATGGCCCATGGATCCTCCACTTTTAGCCTGGTCAAAATGTCATCGGAGGGGATATGCCAGAGATGCGCAGGAGATCTGGCAATAAGGCGAAGTTGTCTGTTGACCGCTTGCTTGATCATGGTGCTACCTTGTGGAGGTAAGCCCACACTGTGGAGGGAGTAGCGCAGCACACTGAAGACACATACCTGCCATAGCCTTACTCTAGTGCTTAAGCTGAGCTTGCGATTGATGAGTATGTGATGCAACCTCCAGAAGCTGCCCCATGTGACCTGCAATCTGTGCTTGAGGTTGAGCAGCTCAAAGCCTTGGTACGAAATGTGGGCTCCCAGGTACTTGTGGGAGGCTACTATGCGAAATGCAATCCTAGTTCTACCCACTGGAATTTTCATATGAACTACTTGGTCGATCACCGTCTTGTATCGGGAGAGGACAGAGGGAGCACTGGTACCCGCCGCTGCAAGCAGAATGACTGTCTTCTCCTTGCTTAGCTCCAGGCCAATCTTTTGAAGCGTGCTTACTAAGATTCCGAGAGCCCTCACGGATAGCTTAAAGTCCTCGGGACTATGGAACTTCCAACTGCCAAACACGTCGTCTGCAAACAGGTTGACAGTGCCTGTGGGCATCCCGTGTTCACGGAAAGATTGCATGAGCATGCGATAAAATCTTCCTGTGGCTAATGCCCAAAGGATTGGAGAAAGCGAACATCCTTGCCTGATTCCTGTATTGAGAAAGACTGACGTCGCATGTTCCGAACTGCCTACCCTGAGACATGCCTGGCTGTGCAGAAACAGTACCGTCTGCACTTCGGATTCCGTAAATTCTGCTTCCCTCATTGCATCGGCAAGGAAATCATGTCTTAAGCTGTCAAAAGCCTTCTTGACATCCAAGCTGATAGATATGCCACCTACCATGTTGGGCTGGGCAGCCCCACGGAATCTATGAGGATGCGACTTGTTGGCATCCGCGAGTAGCTCACGTACCTGGTGTAGGTGTGAGCAGACGGCAATGAGTGCATCTGCAGTGGATCTGGAAGCCAGGTAGGCCCACTGGGGCACATCTTGCAGGTACATGGCTACTTTGTCCTTCAGTCTGGTTGCAAGCATGGCTGCCCAAAGCTTGTTGCCCGGGTGCAACAAGGCAATAGGCCTAAGATTTTTTGGTTCTTTCACAATCTGCACTTTGGGAATTAGGTAGAGCTGGACCTCATGCCAGCTGGCATCCATGTTGGAGGAAGAGGCTAGATTGATAGTTGGCAGAAGAGCTTGGACAACCTGGGATGGGGCTAACTTCCACAGGCGGGCAGGAGCAAATGAAGAGGGAAGTGCTTTTGTGTTCCCTAGCTGTATAAGCGCTCTGAGCAGATCGGGGTCATCAAATTGTACAGGCTGAAACTCTGGGTGGCAGGGGGCCTTGCGAATGTGCTGGCTGCCATAGACCTGACGGAGAAAATCCGCTATTTGCTCCGCCTCTTCAAGTCCTGCCAAAAGGCGACCTTCGTTATCTCTCAGCTGGATTCTCATAGTTCTTACCTTGCAGGCTAACCTTCGAACCACACTGAAGAGCGCCGACGGTTGCTTAGAGCTTTCTGCTTCAATCAGTAGAGCATCCACTCTGGCACACTTCTTGGCAGCACAGGCCTTACGCAGCAGTCGTTGGACCCTTTGTAGTCTGGCCGCCTGGAGCCAGCCTCGAAGCACTGAATAGGTCCGTGGAGGCTGGGCTTGTGCACGGCGCAAATCCCAGAGTTGTCGAATGAGGCACAAAGTATCTGGGGAGGAGGTTTGTGAGGGACGGGCTGTTTTAGGTCGAATCTGTTGCCAGGCTTGGTGCAGCACTCGATTGAGCACCGCTGCCGGGTCTCCCACAACTGTGGGAGGCATGAGGGCAGCAACCTGTTGCCTGAAGCGGTCGGCTAAGGAGGGATCCTGATGTAAGGATTGGTTTACCTCCGTCGCAGTCGGAGGAGAGGCCCGCTTGAAACTCTTGCACGATAGCTTGGGGAGTGGCATGGTCATCATAAGCGGAAGATGCCTCATCCCTTTCCTAGGAACAAAGGGTGCTTCAATGGTCCTTGCCGCCTTGGCCAACGGATCAACATCCCTGGACCGACTCATAAAGTAGTCTATCTGTGTTCTGTGAACAACCTTGCCAGCCTCAAATTGGTAGGTAAAACTATGTTTTTGGCGGCCCCATGAGTTCAGAACGGTCAGATTGAACTGTGCCAGGAGCTGTTGCAGCCTTGGTTGATCGGTTTGCCTAGGCGAGCCTTTTAGTGTCGGGACCCCTGAACCAACCCAAGGCGCTTGAGGAAGAACAGGTGTGTTAAGATCCCCAGTGACCAGAAGTTGCGCCCTCCACGGTACTCCACGAATGGTGGCGGCTAATGCAGTCCAAAATTCTTCACGGGATGCAAGACATGATTCCGAGCCCTTTGCATCATTCCAGACATGCTGATAGGTACAGAGTACATATGTGGCAGGGTTCGATTCGAGCCTGAGTTGAAGGAGACGTCCCGGTAGAGGCTCGGAGAAGCGTATCGCCGATCCTGGCATGTACTGTTTGTGTATAAGCGCAATAATTCCGGCTTTCCGGTTGCTCAATCCGGAGTGCACTACATTATAAGAGGCAAGGGCCCATTCAGCCGTGAATGACCAATGTGTCTCCGTCAGAATGCAGATGTGTACTGTGGATCCTTTAGTGTGACATGTCTCTAGCCACGCTTCAATCTCTGCGAGCTTTGCAACTGTTAATCCACTGGTATTCCACGTCATGAAACGACAGCGATTGGATCGGGCTGGTGGGGCAACACCTCCATCATGAGGAATCGGAGGAGAGTGCTCAGCAACTGTGGGGTTGGGCGATCTAGCTCCGATCGAGTGAACATAAGGTGTGCGTGCGGCCTCTGTACCGGGTGTGGCCTTGCAGCGCCGCACGTCGCACTGCCCTGTGGAATGATCTTTTTCCAGTTTTCGTGAGGTGCTCATACATCTGGTGAGAGGGGGCACCTGGTTGTGAAATGTACTTGAGTTCACGATGCTTTGCTTCTTGGTTGGGGCTTGTAGTGCCTGTTGCATAGCAAGCTCCAGCAGGTCTCGTGACTGTACCTGCAACCCTCGCGTCAGTGGGTATTGCTGTGGCTGCTGAGATGCTTCGCATGAGTATGGCATAGAACAATAACCCCCCCCGGGACTTGGGACCCGGGCGGCTCTTGCATATCACTTGGTGTTGGGGTATGGCTTCAATAGTAGAGATTCTATCGGGTGCATCAGGGGAGGCCTGCTGTTGGCTGATCTCATCTGTAGGGGAGCATCGAGTTTCGAGGAGTTCAGGGGTCACAAAGGGGTCAAGCCCGACGCTGTGCAGAAGGTGTGACACCAGGCCTGGCCATGAAATGGAGACTTTCAACCATCGAAGGCGTCCCTTTAACTTGTACCGTAGGGCAGGCCTGCTCTTGAAGAAGCGTTGGCCCCAGCCGTGGCCAGCATCTTGCTCGCCTACAGTGAGTCGGCCAGGTACCACTTTCGAGTGAGGGGAACCTCCTGTGACAATGGATCCCTGATGATCAGCATGACACTTAGGGACAACGGTAGAGGGGTGCAACTGTAGCTGAGGAGCAACCTCAAGCTGGTGGCAAGACGAGCAGGTTGCGGGCTCTAAGAGAGAGAGCTCTAAGAGGGGGAATTGGCAAGGGTCACAAATCTCGCATGAGTTGAACTGAGATGCACACTCAGGCCCCTCGACTGTGTCGCCCTCCTGCAGGATACCAGCTGGTGGGAGGCAAGAGACAGTGCTACTTCCACATAACTGGTCTCGCAAATGGGAATCACTGGAAGCCTGCACTGGGAGAGCGGAAAGACGTTCTTTTCCAAAGCCCTCGGGACATTTGCACTCTGGTCGAGTGTTGAAGCACTTGTTGCATCGATACCCCGCACGGACCAACATCTTTGCGCAGGCGCGGCTTGGGCCGGCATTCGGCCTGCCACCCGCCGCTTCGGTAGCGGAGGATTGGCTGTCAGCTGTGGGCTGCTGCTGTGAGGGTAGCACAACCTCCGGAAGGTCTGGGCCGAAGATGTCACCCGAGTCCGTATCGTGAGCCTCTGTTACCAGTACTAGTACATTGGTAGCTGAGCTCGAACTGGGAGGAGTGTCTCGTAGATGCGGAGCCATGCTTGGTCGTAAAGGGCCCTGGGCCGGGCGCTGTCCTGAGAGCAGCGGTCGTGGCGCCCCTGTCGTAGCGGGCGGTCCTGCCTCCCCAGCGCCTCGTAGTCGATTCCTTGTCGGTGGAGGAGGCTTAGGCGTGCACAGGACTGGTCCGGAACAGGGTTGTTAGAGGTGTTCCTGGATGGCGGCTTGTCGCGGGCTTCCCCGGCTGGGTCAGCCCCTGGAGAGTCTGTGAAGCTGCCCTCCAGCCAGTCATTCAGCGATCCAAGTTCCACCTCTGACCCTATCATGTCAGAGTCATCCGAGTCATCACACATGGCCATGCCTGTATGAGAGCTGGAGCTAGTTGCTCTGAGCCTGCGCCAACCGACATAAGTGATGATGCTAGACACGGTTTCGCTGCATGCTTGCCTACTTTTGCTAGCAGTCGTGCAGGATATCGGTTTCAACAGCAGGTCACTTGGCAGGCATAGGGCTAGGGCAGTCCTGTTCCCGGTTGCAGGCGAGTCGGGGCGGCTGCTGAGTGAGGCCTTCCACGACCGACACTTCCACGTGGTACACCTGTGCCGACCAATGCCCAGTATACTGAGGTACGGCGAGAGCTTAAGCCTCGGCATCCTCAACCCAGAGTCTGCCTTTTTGAGATGTTGTCGCTGGTGTCTGCCCACGGAGCCCTTGGCGAATTTGGGAGGCGGCGCTTCAGCTGACGGGTCAACAGGCAGAGCCATACTTTCAGAGCTCTGTGGCTCATGCTCCTCCTTCGGCACCACAATCATACCCAGGACCGGCATTGCCTTTGCCTTTGGCCTTGGCGGCAAGTACGGCCTGTTGTTCGCCTGGGTAGCTTCCACCTCTGGCTCCGTGGTGCTCATATCCATCATCGGTGCCGGTGTCGCCGGCACCTCTTCCTCAACATCACCCTCTGGTGGCGTGTGTGGTGAAGGAACCGTGACCACTGGCTCGACATGCTCCACCTCTACCTCCACCATCTGATCATCAACTGGCTGACCCGAAGTTTCTCCATCATGCTCCTCCGGAGGAGTGACTGGATTGGGGATCCGTCTTGCAGTCGGTGGAGTGGGGGGGCAGTCGTGGTCGCTGAGGCCTTGAGAACAGGGTTAGCGGTGGTGGCTGACCTGTTCTCTGATGGACTCGGGGTTGTTCTTCCTCTCGGGCAGCTCGTTCTTCACGTTGTTGACGAAGTCGGAGCCTGGTTTGCTTATCAGGGCGTCTTGCTTCGCGAAGATAGTCCCTCTCGGTTTTTATGCGACGACCTTGCTGATTCGCAGGATCTTCTGGAGGATCCATCACCCTATCTGTTCCCTCTGATTCGAGACACCATCCCACGGAGAAAGCAATTTCAGGCTGATGGCTGATGTATGAAGTGGCAGTGAGGGCTTGCTGTCTGCACGGCACTATGTCTTCTCTTGGACTCCCTTGTCCTGTGACGGCCGGGCCGGTGGGTAGAGCCCCGGAGTAGCTGCACCGATGGCAGCTTGAAGGGGCCTCGAGCACAACAGGGCATGAATAGTGGGGCGGAGGGGAACCTCCTGATCTCATGTGAGGGCTGTGTTTGGTATACCGGACATGGCAAGCAGGAACAGTCGGAGGAGTACCTCCTGTGGGCGGGAATGCAGAATTGAAGCATGGTTGAATGCTACAAACGTTACTGCTCATGCCATCGTGCTTCCTAGCCACCCTTACTCCCTTATTGGACTGTACCGTGACATAGCCTGCTCCATCCTCTGTGAAGGTCCGCTCGGCGCAAGAGACTCCAGAGGCAACCTGAGAGTGGCAGGATGGGTTTGGGCTGGGAGGGGAACCTCCAGACTGAGATGGAGATGGGAGGGGGGTCTTTGGTGATGGAGGAGGGGGCAGGCTCGGAGGAGAACCTCCTATGGCTGTAGTGTTCGAAGGCAGGCACTCTGGGCTCGCGGCGGTTATCAGGAAGTTTGCCAACACCACCGAGTGAAGTAGCCAACCAAGGCGTTTAGCCCCGGATCCAGGACCTGTGCTACACCTGTATCGTCTCCGCTTCGTGGGAATGCTGAAACCTCGGTGATTCGTCGGACCCATTGAGCCCTTCCTTTTCCACGACCTGCATTGTAGTCCTAGTAGACTATGCAAAGTGGGTCGGCAATCGTGGTCCCCATGCTGGAGTGACCTAGTCCAGTGCTTCAAGGTCTGCTGCTCGACAAAGTCTAGAGGCATATGCAGCGTCCAAAACACTCGAAGCAAAAGCCGCATCGATCCTGCAAGTACACCCCAGAAAATCCACTCGCTGTGACGGAGACAGCCAGAGCCACGTTTCCTGCCATATACAGAAGGAGGACTCTCGCAACCAGGAGCTGCCGTATAGGTTTTGCAGACTGAGCCTAGAGCTAATAGGCAGAGATCGCATAGCCAGACATAGGAACTCCATTGACAGTTGTCTGAGGTGGAACTCCTTCGATGTTTCCCATCTCCACCAGGTTGCTCGTTTGGGAATCTTGTTGGTGCCGTGAGGAGGGCATAAAGCCATGGCCATTTCATAAGTACCCTGGACACCCGGAATGAAAAGGGGGGGACTGAGGGGGGAGAGATGGACCAAATAGGTCAATGAGGGGGAGCAAAACGAAAACCACCCCCGGGCAAAGTGCAGCGAGCCGAGACGCTTAGGAGTAGTAGAAGTAGTTGTAGTAGTAGTAGTAGTAGTAGTAGTAGTAGTAGGAGGAGGAGG